AAAAAAAAAAAAAAAAAAAAAGCTTTATTTTAGAAAAGAAATTTTTAGTTATAAAAGTGTATATATAAAATGAAAATTTCACAAATGACTGGAAACCTGAGGTGGCTCAGTATTCAGACTTCACAGATGGATATGGGGAGGTGAGCAGCAGAATGGGCCGCAGGAGAGAGTGCACCGTAGTCAACCTTCCACCCGATGGTAAGGGATGCCTGGCATTAACTGCATACGGAGCCAGGCCACGGCTGGCAGAAGCTCCCATGATGATATCCTGTCTCTCAGGATGCCTTTCTTCTACTTTGGCCATTTTGATCTCTGCCTCAGATCTCTGATGGGTCCTTTTGGTTCTGATGCCTTGGTGCCCAATCATGTACCATCAATGCGATCACGGAATAGTAAGTTTCTGGATGTGGTCTGAGCAGATGTCTACACATCTACCCCAAAGCCTTTCGCCTCCAGAGTGCTGGGGTCATTGTTCTTAAAACTGTCACACTGTTAGCTGGTCATATCTGGCTACTTCAGGATAGACCAAGCCTCCAGAAACATTCTCTCCTGGTCAGAGCTGAAGCACATGGACAGTGTGGGATTAACTGAGCTCACACTGTCACTACTATTACTTTATTTGTCCCTACTGCCTACAAATAAGACCAGATGGTTGTTGGGCTTTCAGCATTATGGGAGTGCCAGATCCTTAGGTGGGAGACTCCAGATAAAAAATGCATAAATGTGTTTGATATGCAGTATGGAAAACCAGCAATGGCACTTCTCATTCCCGAACCTGCACGTAGCCTGTCACATTGTCTTGCCATCCCCCTTCCTGAGAGAGGAGCCACACTGAATGGAAAGACCAGCACCTGGGTCTCCAGGCATTTCAGCTGTCCTGTTTTAAATCAGTGATGACAGGAAAGGCTTTAAGAATGATGTGAGTCCTGCCTGAATTATGACCCTCCTGGAACAAGTCCACCATAAGATGTGCTAAGTGTACCTTCTTCTTTGAGTATTTTCTGAACTCTTTTTTCTTAAAAAAAAAAAAACAAAAAACAAAAAAACACAATATTTATTTGAGAGAGAGAGGGAGAGAGAGAATCCCATGCAAACTCTGTGCTGTCAGCACAGAGCCCCACGTGCAGGGTTCAGTCCCAGCAACCATGAGATCATGACCTGAACCAATACCAAAAGTTGGACGCTTAACCGACTGAGCCACCTAGGCGCCCCTGAACTGATTTCTATTTAATCTAACTTCAAACATTTAAGCAGTGTTCTGGAGCGTTTGGCTTTCTTCAATGATCAAGGCCTATTGACTGGGTGGGGAGGAAGAACAATGAATAGGAAAGCAGGAGACTGACAGAAGCAGGTAGCAGCAAGGCAGGGGGTCTCCCATGTGTAGACACAGGAGAAACTGTTGTGTGAAGAAGATAAAGGTTAAAGGGGGCTCAGGAAGGGCAGGGGAGAACAGAAGTGGTGTTGTAGTGGCTCAGCCTGCTGCTTCTGCTTACCCTGGTTTGGACTGTGGAGGGTGAGGGAGAAGAGGGAATCAGAAAATGGCCAGGAAACTCTCCTGCCTAAAGTAGCCAAATATATATGCAGTGTTGCTCTTCATGTGCTTCTACTTCTATGTCTCTAAGAGAGGGAGTTCTTAGAAACACTAAAGTCCTTCATTCAGCCATTCTTTTTTCCTTTTCCCTCTTCTATTACATGACTTAACAAGCCCCCATACGTAGGTGAGGACTTAAATGTGTTTATCTGGTGTACTCCCAGAATGTTCTAGGCCAAAAGTAAGGAATGGATTAATGAAGACTGTTCACTGTCAACTATCTTGTGCCATGTTCACTGTAAACTCTGAAAGACTCTAAAATGTCCTCTAATAGCATCTTTATGGAAAGGATAAGAGAAAATTTTGCTATTTTTACTAAAGGACTTTGAATAGAGTTAGGTATACAGATTTTAAAAAGTTCAATAAAAGCACTGAATTGTAAGTTGTGTATACACAACTGGGAAAAAGAAATGTTTTAGAAAATTTTAGACTAATAGGTTTGTTGCACTTGGCCCTTGCTCTTTTATAAAAACCCTTATGCTTTATAGATTTGTTAAAGAATACCCTCAGTGGTAGCTGAAAAATCTTTCCAAGAGCAAAATGACTTTTTCTTTTTTCTGCAGAGAGAATATATAATAAGTTGATATTTTTAAAGCTTTTCATATGTAGCTGAGACAAGGCCATCATAGATGCTTACTCGTGAGCTGTAATTTTTGCATTGAACCAAATGACCAAAGTTGTTTTCCTATTTGACAGTAACAGAAGAAAAGAGAATAGAAAGAGTCATGCCTTATTTATCCAAATTCTCCATACTATACTGATAATTATTTCTTTAGCCTAGAAAGAGAATAATATTTGGAGAGTGGAAATAAAACAAATTCAAGCCATTATTTTCTATTACCATTTATAATTCATATTGTCTTTTTAATTACTGAAGAGTAACTCTAAGATAAGTTTCAACCCAAGTGGTCCATATGACTTGCTCACAATTTTACTTTTCTGTGTAAAATGTGAAATAACTTTTCAACTTTTCCTACTAATGTAAAAAGTAACCAAATTAACTTAGAAGTGGCTTGATGATTTTAACACTAACCATGGCATACTAGTATTCAGAAAGAATTTTGCTAACTTCTCAGGCCTACCTCAAGAATTCAGATAATAAATTTCATGGCAGAGTAAGCTACTACTGGACTCTCTGACCATCTGTTTGTTGCATTTAAGTAATTTAATTTTCAGGAAATGAAACATTTGGTCAAGTACAGGAAAGAATAGTGTCCATTCACACTTAACAGATTGATGACATATCCATGGGGTGAATATAAATTATTTTGAAG